AGGTTTGTTTTTTTTTTTTTTTTTCCCCTATTTGATTTGTAGCTTCAAGCACTAACTACATTATGTACACATTGTGTGAGCAATTGTACATGGGGTTGGCGTGTACTGGAGAGAACTTTTTATTTTTCCCCGTGAAACTGAGTTAACTTTGCGTGGGAGACACGTTGTCTAACTGCTGTTTCAAACATATGCTTTCATCGTTATACAGCATTCCCCCCCAACATTTTTTTTTTTTTTGCACACTTACAATGAAGAGCTCCAAAAGACGTCACAAATAAAAGTCCCGTATTTTACCTTTAATATGGGTTTTTTTTTTTTTGAGACTAAACAAAGTTGCAATCTTGGCATATTGTGTTGTACAGACCCTGCACTGACCATCACCATTCTCCAATGCCCCAACGTCTACCCTACGCAAAGCAGTTGCAGGTGACACAGCCATCTCCTAAGTCCACTTGCTCCTGGAGGCTTGAGTCAGACCCAACTAAACCTAAGCCCCCCTTGAGAGAGGCCTGAAGTGGTTCAGCCGCAGGGGGGCCAACTCCCCCCCCCCCGCCCCACCTTACAACCACCAACGGCATCGCCTGGTCCAACAAAAAAGAAAAAAAAAAAAAAGGAAAAGAAAAATGCAAAACCAGAAGCAAAACCATGACTAGCACTTGGGACACCTAGAGGAGCCTTGCCTATTTGCTGTCATGAATTACCCGCCGAATCTCCTCGTTACCTTGCAAAGCATTTCCGTGACTGATGCTTCTCCCTACTTACAGGCTACACAATAAATAGACCGGACGGGGGCTGCACCGAGGCCGCGGGGCCACACTTTGCCGGAGGTGGCCACGGGTACAGAAGTGACGCTGGACCTGCAACGCTCCCTGGCTTGGGGATGTGCAGTCTCCATGCCCAGCAGGTAGGGAGGCCACAGGAGGTGTCTGGTGTGCCCCAGCGCCCTGGGAGCCTATCATCCCCATCCCTTAGCTAGCACAGAGAGCTGCGGTGGTGTCCCTTGGCAGTGCTACAGGGTATGGGGGTAATGGGGTGTAACATTGGTATTTTGGGGACAGGGTCCCCTCCACCTGCCCAAGAGCAAGTCCTTCCCCACTGCCTCATGGAGTGCAAAGAGCAGGGGCTTGAACACATCTGCACCACTTTAATTAGGTTAAAAGTACGTTTAATTTACGCTTTAGTTTAGGTTGGTCAGAGAACAAGAACTCTGGCCTCAATGCATTAACTACTTCTGTGGCCTGTAAGACAAAAAAAGGGCAACTGCATGCCCAGCCAAAGCTGCCATTGCCCCACCCCGGCTCCTTGTAAGCCACCGTCACCTCCAGCTGTGAATGGCAATGCCATGTCACACCCAGGAGGCTCGGGGGGGGGCAGAGCAATGGCACACTCACTTTTTCAATGGCACTCCCTGGATTAACGTACGTTTTCTTAGCTGTGTTACAAACCGTAAATAATAAGCAAAAAGGTTTGTGAAAAGAGATCTATTTTCATTGCTCGATGTGCTCCTCGCTTACCTTCTGCCGGTCCCACTGCGAGGAAAGGGGCCTGACACTACTGCTACTGGTGGGGCTGTAAAGCTTCACAGTGGAGGATGCAGGGAGGAGGAGGAGGAAGAGGGTGAGGAGGAGGAAGAAGAGGAGGAGGAGGTGGTCCGGCAGAGTAAGACTGAGCAGAACTGGGTCGAAAGACAATAAAGTAGTTGCTTTGATTTACAGGCTTGTGGGGTTGAGAATGGCTGGGTTGGAAATGCTGCAGAAAAAATATCCGCTGATTTTAAAAAGTCACCAATGGAAACAGGTTGTTTTTTTTTTACTCAGTTTTGTTTGCCTTAGGTTGCATAAATGCTCTTTAAAACCTGCAATGTTCAACTCTGACAGCGTCTCCTTCATGGCCAAGCGTTTCCTTTCACCGCACGGCACCGCTGGGTGACAGCGGGGCGATGCACGCTGCCGACCGGCCCCTACAGCCTCCAGCCCCGGAGCCGTCCCACACCACCGCCATCCCCTGTCCTACCTGAGATCCATCACCCCAGCCACAGCCGACATCAAGCACGAAGTGCTCTGGAGCTGGGGTTTAGCTACTGCTCTGGGGTAAGCAGGGCCAGGCAGATTGCACAGCACGGCTTACGGTGGAGACCCAGCCAGCCCGCTCCGTGGAATCCGCACGAGCATCCCAGGAGCCGTGTGGAGCTGGCAGGCAGCAGCAGCAACCCAACGGATGGACAACCATCGGCATCGCCCCGGCTCTCCAGCCACGTCCTTCTCCTGAGTTGGTGGTGAGTGAGGACACAAAACACTGACGGGTAATAACCAGCAGGAAACACTAAGTGCATTTTTATTATTCACTACTTCTGCTGTGATCGGGCAGCTTCTGCGGAGGTGCAAAGCCCAGATGGTGAAATACTCCAGCCCGTGGCTTTTCTAAAAAAAAAGGGGAAGAATCCAGGCTGCCGGTGGGTAAGAGCAGAGGCTGCCGGGCAATGCAGCCCCCCCGCCCCAGGCGGCTGGAGGACAGGGGCTGCAAGATTGGCCGAGGGCAGCCAGGAGAAGGTGGACAGGACGTGGCAGAAGCAAACTAAGACTTTCATCGTGGTCACACAAGACGACCAAGTTCCCAACTACAGACCAGGAATTTGGAAAGGCATCAGGCGCCGGCAGTTTGCTGGGCACTGCACTTCATCCCGGCCGAGGCACGTGCTGCCCGAGGCACAATGTCCTCGCCTTGCTGCTGCCATCGGAGCCGTCCCTCTCCCAAGGTCCGGGCCATCGCCTCCTGGTTTCCTCAAGAAGCTTGAGTGAGCATGTGTTTGCTCTCCGAGCCGTGAAAGGACAAACTGACCCATCAACTGACCGACCGACTGACCGACCAAGACAAAAAAGAAAGATTGCATCCTTGGTAGTTAATAACGTACCGGTAACGTTGGAGTCCCCTCGGGCAGACTTTTACCACATTCCACTTCATACAAGACACATTTCAAATGCTCATTAATTTACAGAAATTGCATTTTATAGAAAATATGATACAATGAAATATAAAATGCACTAGGAGCATTTCAAAAATCTATAGAGACGATCTTGCAGCCTAGTATACCCTCTGAAACGAAGTCCACTCATCACCGCACGCTCTCGTCCTCTCATTCTCCCGCTCTCGCGCGTGCACGCTCCCCCCCCTCCCTCCCCCCCGACTCTTAGCATTCAACTTGAGAATTAATCAAGATATCAAAAAAAGCGGGATTATCCCCTGGATAATCACCTTCCAATACTGTGCACATTCTTGGATTTAAATGAAAATATATCTAAGCGCTTTTACAAGTTTTAGCGAACCCACTGCAAAATCGTCTGCAGAATATAAAACACAGGTAATCCAAGATTTCATAGCACATTAATTAAGTGGCTCATAATCCATTAAATGTGGTTTATATTACACATCCATGCAGTCTAAATCATTTTACAAACATTAGACATAAACCCACTAGTCCAAATCAGTAAAGGAAAAATGTAATAAAAAAAGCTAATAACTATTTGTTATTGGTTAAACTGACCCTACATATAAACTAGGTAGTATGCTACCATTTATAATACTGATGTTGAATTATGCCTGGATGCTGCAAAACCTCTTGCTTGCTTGGCAATGCTTCAGCATATTAACCACAAGATACTTAACAGGCCCTCGTTGCACTTCTCCAAAAAAAAAAACATTTACTACAGATAGCAGCGCCTACCCATCAAAGAGAAAGGACACACATTAGCTGAGTTACACGATGTCGTTGAGCTTTGGCTACTAATGCTCCGCGGCATTAATATTGTACTAGACTAACGTCGTACTTACTTACGGATGGCAAAAGTGCTGATAAACTCTTCCTGCCCTTAGCACTGCCCCGGCCTCCAGTGCAGTCGCTACCCAACCCCTTGCCTTTCCCGAGGAAAACAGCATCGGCTTTGGTGCTAGCAGGCGTCCTCGGAGATGCAGGACACCACCGCCCAACCCAGAAGGTATTTACATGACTCAAGAGGTGGTGGGAGCCAAAACGCGCCGATAGCATAAAAACAAACAAATGGGCCTTTGGTCGTCTCACGATTTACTTTGTAGGGTTGAGGCAAGGGCTGCGGGAGATTTCTGTGGCAATAACCAAAGGCTTTATCAATGCTATAGTTCTATGCAGCTACATTGAGTGTGACCAGGTGACCGCAGAGCCCCCAGTCGGAATTTTGCATCTGATAACACTGAATTATATACAACATGATGACTAGTTCACCACCTGCTGAGGCTTAAAGATGGCTGTTAAGATTTTGACTCAAAACACCCCCCCCCCAATCCTCTTCCTCCCCAGAATGAGTCACCCCCTTAAAAAAAAAAAAAAAAAAAAAAAAAAAAAAAAAAAAAGAAAAAAAAGAAACAATCTCCACAGTTCCTTTTTGTTAACTCCTTCCCAGCTAGAACTGGCTTAGGGTCACAGGGAGTGCTGCCCAGGATGGTTGTATGTTTGTTTTCATCACTCCTGAGATTGAAGGGAATCTGATACATGCACCAAAAGGCACTTTCATATATATATATATATATATTTTAAAAACAGTGCTTCTGTTCTAAGAAATTCAAGTTAAGACAGAGTGCCTTTCACTCTCTTTAGTCATAAAGCAGATAAACAAGCAATATCCCAGCTGACATTAAAAAAACCAAACCAAAACAACAACAACAAAAAAAAAACCTGCAGCAGACAAGTGTTCATGCGAGACAGCTCAATATTCTAAAAAAAACAAAATTGGAAAGGAAAAAAAAAGAAAAAAAAAAAAGAAACCTCCTCTATCATCACTAAAAATAACAATACAGTCAGCAGGGGATGTTAATTAAAAAAGCTGCCACATCTGTACAGTTCTTGCTTCTGCATCGGCTCTTTTTGTTAATGTTGTTGTCTGTGGGTTTGTTTGTTTTTTTAAATTGTTTTTTTTTCTTCTTCTTCTTTTTTTTTTTTTTTTTTTAAATTTAAATTATGTGAGGTCAGTTTAATCTTCTTCACCTCCCCCGTACATGTCCGCCAGTTTCTTGAACCTGGGCCCCCAGTCATTAAGGTAGTCGTAGTCCTGGTCCCCGGAGCTGGAGGAGTTGAGGGAGCTGACGGAGCCAGCGGTGGAGCCGCTGCCTTCGTAGTCGAAGACCAGCAGGGAATCGTAGGGGGGGGCCGTGGGGTCGTTGTCTGCCGCACGCAGGCCCTTGGGGGGGAAAACACATGGCGTTAGTACCCATCATGGGGATTTATGGTGCTGGTACCCACCATGGGGATTTAGGGTGATGGAACCCACCATGGGGATTTAGGGTGATGGAACCCACCATGGGGAATTACGGTGATGGAACCCACCACAGGGATTTAGGGTGATGGAACCCACCACAGGGATTTAGGGTGATGGAACCCACCACGGGGATTTAGGGTGATGGAACCCACCGTGGGGATTTAGGGTGATGGAACCCACCACGGGGATTTAGGGTGATGGTGCTATGGAAGGGCCTTTGGGTAAGGGTCTGGGCTGGTGGGATGCTTGGCATCCCTGCAGCAAAGCTAAAAGAGGAGGGTGAAAAGCTAAACGAGGATGGGGACAAAATAAAGGTCCTGGGGCTTCCCCGTGCCTGGCTGCCCCCAGCAGAGAATTCGTTAACTCCCAGCACCTCTGTAAAAGCTGGATGGAGGGAGGGGAGGATCCAGCTCTGGATCTGGGAAGCTCTCAGTTCTGGACAGTGTGTCTTTTCTGGGGTTGCCTGTTAAGATTTCCATCTTGGCCAATGGAAGAACAAACAGCATGCTTCCTCTCTTACCCATAGCCATTATTTTAATTTTGATGATTTTGATTCCTTTAGGTGGAAAAAGAAAAATCACTCCGCAAAATTCTGCAGTTAGGAGAGACTTGGGGTGCGAAATCCTGGGCAGAGGTTGGGAAGCATCGCTTTGTGCGTTGTGGGCGGCAGGGTAAGCCTGCCACGGAAAGGGCCTCGGGATATGGAGAAATGGAATTGCTTTGCTGCAGCCCAGCGTCAGGAAAATCATAGAATCATAGAATGTTTTGGGTTGGAAGGGACCCCTGGAGGTCATCTAGTCCAACCCCCCTGCAGGGAACAGGGACACCTTTAACCACATCAGGTTGCTCACAGCCCCGTCCAACCTGGCTTGGAATGTTTCCAGGGATGGGGCCTCCATCACCTCTCTGGGCAACCCCTTCCAGTGTTTTACCACCCTCATTGTAAAGAATTTCTTTCTTATATCCAGTCTAAATCTCCCCTGTTTTAGTTTAAAACCATCACCCCTTGTCCTGACACAGCCGGCCCCACTAAAAAGATTGTCCCCATCTTTCCTATAGGCCCCCTTTAGGTACTGAAAGGCCGTAATCAGGTCTCCCTGCAGCCTTCTCTTCTCCAGGCTGAACAACCCCAACTCTCTCAGCCTGTCCTCATAAGAGACGTGGAGCCTCGTGGAACAGACCTGCGACAAAGCAAAATGTTCTGCATTTGCACCTTCAGAAAGCCCGGTCTCAGCGTGGGGAGACGGAGCGGGATTTACTGCAGCGAACGGCAGCCGGAGCGTGTGTAAGAGCGAGCGAGTCTCCACGTGCATGGATGGGTGCAAACGTGTGCGTGAGGGATGGGCAGGAACAAAGGAAGAAGGAATTTTAATGCTGAAAATGAGAAAAAGCGCAGCAGGAAATGGATGTACTAATAGAATGAAAGTGCTCTCGCATTCATTCTTCTGACTTAGGAAATGGATGGTGTGTTTTGCCTTGGAGGAAATAACGCATTGATTGGTTTGTAACCACTCAATCACTCAAAACTAAAAATGAGATAAGAAATACTAAATGGATAGATATTTGTACAAGCAGATAAAGGAGCAGTAATCTAACATAACATAAAGCAACGCGCTCTGATCTGAGATGAATCTTTCTGTTCTGCAAACTCTTTGAAGTTTTGGACCAAATAAAGCTCACTAGGGGAAGACACAGACTGCTGAAATAATTACAAGCCAGAGATGGGGCTTTTGGCTTTAGGCAAACCATGGAGCTGCCTTGCCACCACCTCCCCCACCAGGACGACATTCCTTTGGCCACGTCCAGACAATGCTTTTACTGACAGCAACTTCATGATAATCCAAGAGAGAGCGGGATCAGGTTATACCGCCCGGATTCTGGAAAGCACCGTGTTTGTGAGACCCGCCAGTCAGAAATCTTAGGCTTTTTGTTTGCACCTTGGCTTCTTACAGGCTCAGTGCCTTTATTAGGCCAAGTCCTGCGTCCTTTGCTCATGCCAATCATTTCCCTGGCTTTGATCAGGCTCCTCATGTGAGTAACGGCATCGCTTGCTCCATGCAGCCAGGAAAATGTTGCACAGCTGATGTTAGCTGGCTGCTCAAGCTTTTAAGATGTGACACAGGACACCCTGCAGAACATACCTCATTAATAAAGTCACCAATATCCCCTGGATGCGGGATTACTGGTCTTATAGGATACTGCGGGTCAGCACCAATAGGGCTTTCCTTGTTCAGCACGTGATCCATGGTCTCTGGCTGCTGGAGCTGGCTTAAATCGTAATCCTGTGACAAATGGAAAGGCACAGAGTGAAACCAAGAGCTTTTCGTTCAGATCATCTACTCACCCAATGTACAAACAAGTCGAGGGGTCTAATCCTATTTCAGCTGAAGTTCGATGGCAATCTTTATCCCCGGGTATGTAGCACTTCTCTCTATCTAAATTACAGATGAACCTGGCCTCTGAGTCACTCATACAATTGGCCTCCGAAGAATGTATCTTAAAACAGAAGTTAAATGCAGTATTTGAATACTTTCTGAATATTTTACATTGGTGTGTAAATCTTCAGGATAAAAAACTGGCTTCGGTTTGCGTGTGCGTAGGTACGTGCATACCCTTTTGATGAAATACATAATATGATTGTATTTGTACCGGCACCACGGTGTTGGTAGACATATTATTGCAATTACATTTGTACAGAAATAAAAACATTAAAATGTGTATTGCATTTATGCATGTAGGCCTTTCAAAGTAATTATGTTCTTTCTGCCTGTGAAAAATCCCAACAGAATAGGTTTCTATCAAGGAATGAGAACCAGGTAATATTTCATTAAAAATGTATTCATGTAGGTAATGGTGTTTTGCTGCTCTTCCTTTGCTGTTATTTTTAACGAAACCTTTCTAAAATATTTAAGCCTACAGTGTAGTTGCCTGAAAGCAGATACTTCAGCTGGTTTGAATGCTTATAACAGTACTTTGTTCTACCGGTAAAACTATTCTTGTGCTCAGAGAGGGATGATTCAATCTCCAGGAGCAATATTTATAAATAACTTGTCAGTGACAAGAAAAAGAAATGCTAATTGCAAGGATTTTTTTTCCGTTGAGTAAGAACTTCACAAGTTTTGGGCAAAGTCCCTGCCTCGGCTGCCCGCGGTGGCTCTCGCCAGGCTCACCCGCTCGCCTTCGGATGCCACCGGGACCTCCACAGTGGGATGCACTGCAGTGGTTTCGTCTACTCCGTAAGCACCAGCCCCAACCACCGACCTGAGGACACACTGACCCCAACCACGTGCACGGCAGCCTCTGCTCAGACCCATGGACCATGCAGTCCATTTAAGCAAGCAAGAATAAAGCCACCATATGATGCAGAGTCACATAATTTGGTGAACATCATATCTGAGAGTGTCAAGGGCTCTTATGTTAGGTAGGAATAACAAAACAGCGGCTTAAACGTGAGAGACAAAACTTTGCAATTTTAGCTGAGGAAATACATCCGGAGCAGAGGGACAGCACATGCCAGGAGTGCAGGCCAGGGAGGTTTTCATGCAACATCAGCTTCGGTGTCTGTAAGAAGAAGCCACTGCAGAAAAGCTGACGCATTCAGGCAGACCGTGGCTTAGGGCTCTGTCACCAGGCAAAGCTTTGCCACCGTGCGCTTCGCGGTGAAAAAGAAAATCCCCAAATGTAGTTAGACATTTCTCACAAACCACATTGAGAAATTAAAGGCACATTAGAGACGATTAAGGAAATGCAGGGAAAGCCCACAGAAGCTCTAGGCTCAAGCAAGCCAAGGCAAGTGCCTGCAGCCACAGGTCTGGGGGAAGGCGGTAGCTGCTAGCTGGTTTTACTAAGATCTTGGATGGGGAATGGGAAAACCCACCATTTTAATGACCAAAATAGCAGAAATATTGTTTGAATGTGAGTGTCAGTAGATTGATTTGCAGTCCCTCCCCAGGAAGCTGGCCTAGGGGGTAGCAAAAGGGTCCTGTCTGCACAGGAGAGTGTCCCCATGACATGCTGCACCTAAGCTGGCTCTCACCGATGTCCACGCCACACTGGGGAAGCCAATAAAGCTGCCTGGGCATAAACAAGGGTGAACACAACCCTTTGTGAGTACTTTAGTGAAAATAATGTGGTTTCTGCCTTTTTGAGAATATAGACTACCCAGCTGCTCCTTGGCCATGACCTGCGGGCTCTTCTCACCTGGTCTTCTTCTCCACCTCCCTCTTCGTCGTACTTCAGAATATTGTCCCTGACGTCGTCCTCGGGGTCGATCAGGAGCTGCTTGGTATGGCGCTCCTTCTCCCGGCGTTTCATCCACACCACGAACAGCAGGACCATGGCTGCAATGGAGAAGAAGCGGGGTGAGCTGGGGTCTTACATGGTGCATGGCCAGCTGCGCGTGTCGGAGTGTGGTGGCGTGTCCTAACACCTCACGTGTCCCTTCTGCTATGGAGAACCTCGCTGGCTGCTAGTAAGAGGAATAAAATTTTATCCTATTGCGTGTTCTCATTTATAAGGGAGAGATCAGTGAGAGCTGTAAATACTGTGACAGGCCTCCACTGCAAACATTTCTTTAAGATCCATCACGAATGCTGGCTGTGCTGATGTTTATCAGAAGTCAAACATGCAATCAAAGGAAAAAGCAAACAGAAAGTGAGAAAACTGACGCTTTCTGAAAATATTTGATCTAAATCCTGAATTTTCAGGATTAGATTTCTACCTTTATCTTATTCAGGGGCATAAAATAAAGGTGGAGGAAAGAGAGCTGCAGGGGGGCTGAAAAGCAAAGAGGTACAGGTGACCAAGACCTTTGCACAAGCGGCCGTTCCACCAGCGTGATGCAGCGATGCCCGCTCAGGTCGCGAGCGCTGGCCAAGGCAGTCATTTTGCTGCTGCCTGCAGCACGCCACGCAAGACTGGTTTGGGGAGGGTGGGTAATACTGGGTCGCGCAATCCACTTTGGATTGCTTATACTCACTTACACTCTTTTTTGGTGAGTGAGGGAGGCTTTCCAGACTGCCAAGATCACATTAGCCAGGACATTAGCATATGCATTTGACCATGGACTTGCAAAGCAGATCTAAGATGGTTTGCAATCCTTTCAGAAAGCAGGGCTAGCGGTGCAGACAAGGGAGAGCAAATCTGGTAGCACACAGCCAACCTCCTCAGGCACCAGCATTTACGTGCCAGGCCCTGGCTAATCTCTCTCAGTACAGTAAGAGAGAGAGAGATGAACAGTTCTTGAATCATGAGAGGTTTTCCCCCTCTCAAACAACTTTACCCAAAGGGAATGCTGGCTCCCTGCTCCACAACCTCCTCCTTCAAAGGGCCGCCCACATCCCAGAGGCTGTGCGTTCCCTGTGAATTATGGCATGGAAGTCGCTCTGGGAGCTTAAGTCCCCGCTAACATAAGGCAACCAGATCTTGTTGTCTTCAAGAACCTGTTAATATGTTAGTTTTCATTCACATACTCAGTAGCTGCAAATAATGCCATCAAAAATGAAATTAAGCCTGGGCAGCCGATGCAGTTACACCTCCCCATGTCTGCTGTCCCTCCGTTCTCCATATGAACCACACATGGAGTTTGACGGTGGCAATCTGCAGGAGAAGGAGAGATAGATGGACAGTGGAGGTGGGAACGTGTGTCCCAGGTTCATTTCACTTCGGTCAACCCTTGACTGTGCCAAAACAATGCAGCCAACACAACCGAACCCAGGCAGGATGGAAGATCCCAAAGTCTCGGTGTTTTTTTAGCTACATAAGGAGAACAAGCAACTGCTGTTCCCCACCGTCTCATACTTTGCAGGCTTTTCTCTGCCTCTTCATGGAACCTTGGTGTCACCTCACCGAGGGCAAGGATGGAGAAGAGGCCAGACCCTGGGGACACAGGTGGGCGGCCCAGCCTGCAGCCCCACGGCGTGGGGAGGTGGTTAGGAGGATCTGAATTTTCCCTCCCAGCACCGAAGTGTTTATACCCAACAGGAATTCAGTGAAGTGAGCAGAAGAGGACCGGACAGCTAATTATTGCCATTGTCTGCCAACTGGCTGCCATCCCTGCCTGCCAGCTAACAGAATTGTTTTCAGATAGTTCAGCATTTCTTTAATGCTTATCCTAGATCTATTCAAGAGAGAAAAAAGAAAAGGAAAGAAAATGTAACTCTTATCTGCAATATAAAACCTCAGCTATTTAGCAGACTATTGAAGTCCTTTTTTCGTTGTTCCTTTTCAAGTCTCTCACAACAAGATACCTGCCTAGTCCACAAAGACAATATTATAATGGTTACCAGGGTTTATCTTTTTCTTTCTTTCTTTCTTTTTTTTTTTTTTTAATCCTTTTTTTTTATCACCTTGTTAACAGACAAGGGAGAGCAAATCTGGTAGCACACAGCCAACCTCCTCAGGCACCAGCATTTACGTGCCAGGCCCTGGCTAATCTCTCTCAGTACAGTAAGAGAGAGAGAGATGAACAGTTCTTGAATCATGAGAGGTTTTCCCCCTCTCAAACAACTTTACCCAAAGGGAATGCTGGCTCCCTGCTCCACAACCTCCTCCTTCAAAGGGCCGCCCACATCCCAGAGGCTGTGCGTTCCCTGTGAATTATGGCATGGAAGTCGCTCTGGGAGCTTAAGTCCCCGCTAACATAAGGCAACCAGATCTTGTTGTCTTCAAGAACCTGTTAATATGTTAGTTTTCATTCACATACTCAGTAGCTGCAAATAATGCCATCAAAAATGAAATTAAGCCTGGGCAGCCGATGCAGTTACACCTCCCCATGTCTGCTGTCCCTCCGTTCTCCATATGAACCACACATGGAGTTTGACGGTGGCAATCTGCAGGAGAAGGAGAGATAGATGGACAGTGGAGGTGGGAACGTGTGTCCCAGGTTCATTTCACTTCGGTCAACCCTTGACTGTGCCAAAACAATGCAGCCAACACAACCGAACCCAGGCAGGATGGAAGATCCCAAAGTCTCGGTGTTTTTTTAGCTACATAAGGAGAACAAGCAACTGCTGTTCCCCACCGTCTCATACTTTGCAGGCTTTTCTCTGCCTCTTCATGGAACCTTGGTGTCACCTCACCGAGGGCAAGGATGGAGAAGAGGCCAGACCCTGGGGACACAGGTGGGCGGCCCAGCCTGCAGCCCCACGGCGTGGGGAGGTGGTTAGGAGGATCTGAATTTTCCCTCCCAGCACCGAAGTGTTTATACCCAACAGGAATTCAGTGAAGTGAGCAGAAGAGGACCGGACAGCTAATTATTGCCATTGTCTGCCAACTGGCTGCCATCCCTGCCTGCCAGCTAACAGAATTGTTTTCAGATAGTTCAGCATTTCTTTAATGCTTATCCTAGATCTATTCAAGAGAGAAAAAAGAAAAGGAAAGAAAATGTAACTCTTATCTGCAATATAAAACCTCAGCTATTTAGCAGACTATTGAAGTCCTTTTTTCGTTGTTCCTTTTCAAGTCTCTCACAACAAGATACCTGCCTAGTCCACAAAGACAATATTATAATGGTTACCAGGGTTTATCTTTTTCTTTCTTTCTTTCTTTTTTTTTTTTTTTTTTTAATGCTACTTTTTCATGCACTTGTGGAAAAAAACCTGTGCCATTAACGCCTTTACAGCTACCTTGGAAAAAAAAAAAAAAAAAAGACCTTCAAAGTGTCAATAGCGGATGTAGTGCACTCTCCTTCCTTTTATTCACTCTGCAGAATGGGAAGTGCTATTACTGCTGTTAGACCCATTTTCACTCTGCATGTAGTTTTTCTTGAAATCTATTGTCTTCACCCTTCACAATTTTTTATTGCATTGCTCTTCTAAATGTGTTATTCGTGCAGCTAATACATCAGGTATCAGGAAGAAGAAAAAACCTTTGAGCGACGGTAAAGCCAGAAACTTCCTTCACCTGAGCAACCTCAGATCTGTCCCCTTGCTGCTGCTTCCTTTTAAAGCCATCAAACTTTTGACCTGCTGACTCTAAAATGGACAAATAGCACAAAAAAATCCTGCATCTGCCTTTTTCCAGGCTATTGTTCCGAGGTCACGATATAAAACAGATAGAAAGGAGGCAAAACACTGGAAGGATGTAACTGGAAAACTGCTCATCGCAAATTACATTTTTCATCACTGATACAGTGCTTTGCAGCTCTTGAAGATAAAAAAAAAGTCAATTAGAATTACAATGAATGTAAAAATAAGCTTTTGTAATAAAAACCATAATTTAAAATGGGATAATGTATCTGAAAATGAAAAGAGGAATCTCCTAAATCAAATGTCCTTCAGCTGAAGTTAATTTCAGTCAATAGGATTTTCAACTGTTTAAATCATATTTTAGCACTGGATTAATAGGAGAGCAGCAAAAAGAAGTCTCGTGTTTTATCACCTCTGTGGCTTCCAGTGCCAACTTTTAGCCCACCGGCAGCAGCACGCCCCGGCGTACCAAACGTGGAGGGGCTGGCCAACACCATGTCTTCTTCTGGGCGTGCAACTGTGGTGCGTGCGCAACCAGTGCCCTTGCTGAAGGGAGCAGCCCAAAACATTTTGCTATTGGGACCCCGTACCCAACGAAGGACGGAAATTGTGCATCGTGGCTGTGCATGGGGATGCTTCCACTGGCTCAGATGGGCTGGATGAGGAGTGGGGACTGCAGGGCCACAAACACCCAATTTTCTTGCTCGCTCTCCAGACTGATATGGTAAATCAATAACACAACGACATATTCCCATCGCTGGCCCAGGAGGGTGGATGCTTGCCCAGAGATGACCCATTCTCTTAATGTACCATATCAAATCCACATTAGGTGACATTTGTAGCATACGTCGCTCTGTCTGCTCTCTGTTTAAACACATTGGGGGTAAATATTAAGTGTGATTTAGCACCATAACTCCCATTAGCTTTAATGGGAGTCCCATGGTTTCATCCTGTGTTTCCTGATGAATATTTACCTCATTGTTCATTTCAGCGCTCGTTTTTATCTATTCCTACTGTGCCAACTCCTGCTTGAAGTTATAATGATGTAATTTTTATTTTTAAGTGTGTGCACACATGGTTATTGGTAGTGCTCACGAAAACCCGGGACTAACAGCGTCGCTGGGCAAAAGGCATGGCTTTGCCTCGAGCAAAGGGATGGCCAGCATGTACCCCCAGCCTTCTGGTGCTCCTGACAAACTGGGGAGCCTTCCTCTAAAAACCCTCACAATCCACCACGGTTCTCCAATCTGCTGACATTTTACAAGCAATGGGAGTAGCTACCGTTCTTCTTTTCCTGTGAACAACCAAAAATCTACAGCTATGTGCCAGGAACTAGCCAGACTCTCATAACCACTGCAGCTGGTACTGGGAACCAGTATATCCACAGCCAGACAGGGACCTGAGAGCTATGGGGGAGTCTGCCACAGGATTTTAGCCAAGTCCTCCAACTTTCTCCTGCAAAATGTGGAGAATCATAACACACTCACTACCTACGAGATGCTGTCAGGTGTCATGATGTTTGTAAAGCTACTCAAGTCTTAGAGAAGTCCAACGCACACGAGAGTGCTCTAGCTCGGTTTGCTGACACGGCAGTGAGGGAGGCTCAGATGCAGACGTGAGAACCACCCCTCGCAGCCCAAAAGCTCACGGCTCGGTCCTTTGCATGGCTCTTGAAAAATACCATGTACAGAAATGGGACAGCGGGGGACAGGATGGGAACCGTGACGTCTCCCAGCAGTGTCACCCCCCCTGTCGTACTTACTTAGTAAAATAATGATGCAGATCAAGATGGCAATGATGGCACCCGTGCCCAGCCCCGCTGCAGCCACCGCCCCGATGGTGGTGCAGTCGCCGTTCTCATCACACGGGCACACCTTCACTTTGATGACGCACGTGTTGTACAAGGGGGGGTTTCCTGAGTCCGTCACGATTATCGGCACGTCGTACACACCCGCTTCCAGGTACATGATTCGTAAACTAAGCTGGGCGTAATCACCTGGAGAGACCCAGACAGACAGACAGATGACAGACACTCTGGCAGAGCCTTGCAGCCACACCTCTACAGGCAGGGGTGGCCCGCCAGGGCCGAGACCCGAAGAAGAGGCCATCAGCAACCCACCTGGGCAGGGCAGCTGCAGGCTTCTGCCCTAACAACCAGCCCGTATGTTGCAAAATACCGTGTGTTTTCACTGCACTGCTGCACTAATCTCCCTTGATGCCATTTGCAACGCCAGTTGCATGCATTTAAAATGGCACGAAATGCAAACACTGAAGCGTGGGTGATGCTCCCTGGGTCTCAGCTGCCCCAGGCCACTGCGCAGGCTCTCTGCTCGCCCACCCTCCCACCCTGGGACTTTTGGGAAGCCCATCGCTCATCAATGATATGCTCAGCCAGGTAATCCTTCTCGTGTTCCCTCCCATTGCGACTCAAGACTGAGCCCTGAGCTGTGAGGGCAGAAGCCGTCGCCCCTGGCAGAGGGTGCCAGACCTCAGCGAGGGGGAGCAGCTTGGAAGCCAAAACCAGCCCACGGCTCCACGACATTCTCCATCCTCTACTAAAACTACCAATAAGAGGAGCAATTAGGGTCATTTGTGGTTGCACGCTGCAATATAAAAATCCTTCACATACTGGTAATCTTCACACTTACCTAGCCCTCCTGGTTCCATGGTAAATTAAAAGGCTGCCTTTATGCAATTATGGTCAGAGAAAATGAACATTGATCCTGATTGTGGCTTATGACAATTACACTGGAACATAAGGAAGACTGATAATAGCTTTTTTCCCCTTGGCCATTATGGATGATTTATACTCTGTTCACTACTGATAACTGTTCATAATTATGAACTGCATTAAAAAAAGCCAAGTGCCAAGGCTCTTAGAGTTATGCTGCAGGTCTGATACAAATCATTTCTGATTAACTATCTTGTCTATAATGTCAGCCATAATGTGCTTTAAAAAATCAAAATCCGATAAAAAAAGTAGGAAAGTTTGGAAGTTTGAAACCGCACGTGGCCTCATTAGTGAATCGCAGTCCAAATGTCCTCAGGATTGCCTGCCCCATTTACCATTCAGCCGTGTTATGGTCCAGTTCTTCCTCACCGCAGATGGCACACTTGGCAGCTCAAAGACAAAGGGCCCAACGTTTGGATCGATGTCAGCATCCGCGGCTGTTATGTTGATGACATTCAGGTTTGGCTTTTCACAGATCTGTGCCTCCTTTGGCAGGAGCTCAGGAGCGTTATCGTTGATGTCGATTAGGTAGATCTGCAGCGTGCCAGTGCCACTTGCGGGGGGTATACCTGAACGGGAGAGGCAGAGCCGAACATAGACCGATGACCATCACTCGAGATGCAGTGGGAATGACAACACCATGGACCAGCCTCCTCTCTGCCTTCCAATTTCAATAAACCAGGATTTTCACCCTCCCTCCTTGGACCTTATTAGGGACATACTGCACTTTCATGGTCCCTTGCTTTAAGAGGTATTATTAAAACTTCCCCAAGCCTCCTAATGTTGCTGTTTTTCACTTCTGCAGAATATGGAGGTTTAGTTCTGCAGATTTGTAGCCTACAGCAATGTCCTTAGTCAAACTCTAAAAATACAAGGAGGTGATGCCAAGCTGCTAGTGCAAATTTTGGTAATGGCTGTTTTGAAGAGGAAAAACCATTAGAAAGATAGCTAACGAGGAAGAAGAGGGCTTGGAGGGAAAAAGAAATTAAGTAGTGTAATTCTGTTGATCAGCATTTACTGTAGCACTTGCTAGCCACTTTTTAGATTTGCAGACTATTACAGTGCTTCAAAGAAAGCCCAACTCCCCAGCCCATCCCAGAGTCAGCCCTAACTTCAGTGGTGAAAGGTCCTTGCTCAAAGCCTCTGGTATGAGCTAACCATCACCAAAATCTTTGGGTGATGCCACTAACCCATGGCAGCAGCAGTATGTCCCAGTGTCTGCATCCTCTCTACATTTGTCCCAACCAGCAGGGATGCCATAGCACAGCAGTCCTCGTCCTCCAGCCCCTTACTGATGAAGAGCCACATTTGTCTGACTAATGACCACTTACAGAAAGTAATACCTGCCCTGGCAAGAGAGAACAGCCTTCCCAGAAATGGTGCAGTATTTTTAATTTCTCTCCCCACACATACATCTGGCAGCTCCGTGCTGGCCTGCTCACCGCCTCCCATCTCAGGCCATGTTGCTTCAGCAATTCTTTTTTAAGTTTGTATTTTCAGTCCTGGCTCTTCCTCCCACTGCTGGGTACAAAGCTACACAACCCTCTTCCCCACTAGGCTTTCAAACATTGCTTCTGCTTCCACAGACTTTCCTTCCTACCTTTCTTTCTCATTTCTCCTCCATTTTTCAAGGGAGCGTTGAAAACTCCGAAGGAGCCCTGAAAATCCTTTTCATGGTTCCTACATAAGCTCTTCAATCATTGATCTCATCCTTTCATCTAGTAAGCATGGGGTAGGTCTCCCTCTAAAACAATGTCTTTGATCAGCCTTGAAAGTTTTTGGAGAGACAGACAGCCCATCAGGATACTGGGGCTGAACATGAAAACTGACTTTTGGGACCAAGCGAAGTGATTTCACCGTTTTCACATTAACCAGAATATCTTCTGGAATGAATGCAAGGCCCACACTCTAACCTCTGAGATTGAACACAAACTAGCAGTCCTGAGGGGCACTAACTGGCACGTGGCTGAAACAACCTGCAATTGCTGCACACGCAAATGCAGTTTTGTAGGGCTGTTGGGTATCGTTGGGCTCCAGTTCCTGGTATTTTCGGTTCTTTGTGCTCCTGAGTGCAGTTCTGGGTCTGTCTCAGGAGAAATGAAAAGTAAACAATTTTTTAAATGTCTAAGTACCACAAACCACGGAACATTTCAAATTATTTCAGCTGCCTTACGTGGAAAGAGCAAGGATGTGGATAGAGCAGGTAGCGATGTACCACAAAGAATCCTCGGACTTTATGCTCAAGAGATGAGGACTACCATAGCACCACTGACTCCAGTGGAGAAGTTGGTCCACTCCCTGAAATTAAGACTGAATTACTAATGACAGTATTTCAAAAGAAAGAGGACTTTACAACTACTGCATCTACATTTGACTGCTGCATTCCCCATCACTGCCTTTTTCACAGCGCTAGCATCAGCACTTCTGGAGCAAGGTAGAAGCCAACTGGCTTTCATGTTCAGCTGCAAGCAGGAGCCACTCCCATCCTGCTTGTGCAAAAATTTCTAAGGAACTTGGGCTACTGTCCTGACAAATCATGGCAGAAACGAAGTGAACTGTGCCTGTGGCTAACTAACTGGCACCTTCTTGCCATTGTGTGCCTGCAGAACAGCAGGAACCTGCGTGCAGGGTCACTAATGCAGCCTGGTTTCCTGCAGGATCGGGCCCTAAAGGTGAGTTCCCATGGGTGCTCTGATACTGAGGAAGGGGCAGAACCCTGCTTCCTTCAGTTACAGAGCCCTACTCAGCTCTCTATTTTATGAAACCTGTTGGAACATGATATATTTGAGTTCTCAGCTTCCCTGTGAGATTGGCTGAAATTGGATGAAGGGTTCAAACGCTGCCAGGCTCCACACTTGTGTAGACACAGTGTGATCCAAGAGCCTCTCTCTGTCCTGGGAAACCAGGCTAAAAATGTGCTGTTGATTTGGATTCTCCTTTTCCCCCCTTACATTGCAGCCAAGACTTCTTAAAGCGAGTATCTCTGCACTGTAGCCCAGGGAGAGAGAGAGCATGTCCAAGGAGTATTTGGCTAAACTTCTTTATCATGTACTGAAAACAGCAAAACGAACTTCAAGGAAACAAGATGCTGCTGCTTCTTCAAGAAAGAAAGAAAAATCCCCACCAAAACCCTTGACCCAAAACCTGTCTTTGATGAGTACGTGATGCTGGAGAACCTGGAACTTAGGAGAAATGTAGAAAGAGTCTATTAGCCTAGATGAGACTTCAGCTGTTAGCCTAAGCACTCCAGGACAGAATTTTAAATAAGGTGTTGCTTTATGTGCATTTTAATGGCTGCAATATACTGGTGATAGATTAATTTTTCAGAATAAAGAGATTTATCTAGGTCCTCACTGTCTGAGCTGCTGAATGATGGATGTGGAGGCACTGATGCACTGCACCATCAGCACCGAAGCCAAGGAGAGGGGTTAACTCCAAATCATGTTGTAATCAGTGCTCGAGATTTGCAAGGTCAGATCGTGAGGATTAGTTTGATGGGTTCAAACTCTACCACTGCTTTTGTGAAGAGCCTCAGCCAACTCATTTGCTCTTGCAGATGAATGCTGCTAGAACCCCTTGAGCCTATTTTGGATTTCACTGCCCTGGCTGCCTTAACAGCGGGGAAGCTTAGAATGGGGCTGTGGGACCACACCAGTCCTACCTGATGGCACAAAGAAGAGGCAAAATTTGGTTCTTGGTACTGCTACTTGGCATGGTAACTCTTCCATGAGTTTGCTTTGCCCCTGTGACCCAGGATGCAATGACTGAAGCGAAGCCTGGACCTCCAGAGCAAGCAAGTTTTCATTAGCCCTGCAAGCACCACTGTACGTGCTTGTAACGGGCATGGCACCCTGCAGCCTGAGGGATGACGAGACCGAACACAAACACTGTCCTGAAAGCACCTACAGAGTATAAGCAGCATACTTAGGTGCCCACAGCCAACCCCAGACTTAATTTTGATGCTGAAGCTTGGCTCTGGTTTGATGTGGGCGCTCAGCACCCTGCAGGGGGAAGGTGAGGGTGGGAGAAGGGGAGGAAGGCCCTCTCCTTGCCCAGGGAAGCTACTCCACCCTCCCCACAGCCTTTTCCAACTGGAGGAACTGCTGCATGAAATACCAGCATGGCCACACCTAGGTATGGTTAGCAAAAAAGTCGTGAACTCCTCCTAGTCAGACTTAGGAAGAGAAATCCAGGGCAGCAGCAATGGACTGCTTGCCCTTGAATGAGGCCAGCGCTGAGGTTCACAGTGCTAATTTTACCAGTCGTGTGTGATCTTTAATGAGTAGACAAGGGGAAGCCTTAACAGGACTTCTCCGTGAGAAGATCTGTACTGGCCTCAGCAACTTTGATAATATAGTATACCAGCATCCAGACAGACTGATGAAGGCTGGCCATTTCAGAAATGGTACCGACAGAGAGAGATTAGCTCCGATGATAGACGAAAGACACCTTTCATGAAAGCCACAGCCAGTTCAATGGACTGGTTTATTTTTAATAACCTCCTACCATCCCTTACAATTATTTCTGGTTTCCTGATGGAAGGCTCCCTGAACCCTCTGCTGAGCGCCTCTGGGACGATTACCAGGACTGGTGTGTTTGGCGGCCCTTGGAGAGCCCATCCCTTTGATATTTTTTTAAGTTCAGGCTACACCACTACACTGAACTCCCCAAATCGATTTTCTATTTGCCCTCCCTTTCCCTTAATAACACTCTCTGTATAATGTGCACATTTAATTTACTCCAGCAATTTCCCGTCCCACTTTCACATTTTTGACCATAAAAACCTGGGAAAAAGATAACTTATACTGACAACTCTGTCAGGGCATCATTTCTCTTAATGCATCACATTAGAGTCTTATTGAAGCATGAACAATGTGAAGCCTGGGCTCACCGTTGTCAGCCGCCAAGAATGTGGCCTCGTAGACATTATTCTTAATGTAGTCTGACTCTCGATCAAGGACAGCAGCAGTAGTGATCTGACCATTTGTGGCATTAATGTTCAGCCAGTTTGCAGGATCTGACAGCTTAGAGTATCTACAGAGAAAGGAAATAAATACATAGCAGTCTTTTCACTGACATATCCTTAATATTGCTTGAAATAAGGTTTTTCTGGACTCCTGACCCATGATTCAAAGGACCTTTGGATGACTGGTTTTGTTGACAAACAAAACGCTAATTGCGTATCTGGTTTTTGACCTCTACAATTATTCAATTTTTCTATTTCTTTCATTTTAAAGGTTTTTCTTTCCACTAAGTGCCATTTACATGCCAGCTTTCTGCTGCTGGGAATGGATACAGCCTGAGGTCTCTGCAGCTGAGGAGAAATGGGGTCTGCAATGACCACTGTGTTCATACGCTCGAATGAGAGGACGGATTCCTGCTCCCTCCTTCGTTTAACGTTGACCTTCCTAAAACAGCTCGTGCTCTAAAGCCATGGATATTCCTGTTTTCTGCCCATCACTAATGAACAACAGTTTGGGAAATATCACATTGGAAGAATGGCAGTTTTCAGGCCACTCTTTTGTATCAGAATGGTATCCTCAGCAGCCTTGGGGACACTACAATGGGAACTCACAAGCTGTATTAAGGAGTGGACCCAAGGGTGAAGCGGTTTCAGGTCTGCTCTCCTGAAACATTTTTATATGTCCCTGAAACAGCAGGTAAGATGATCCTATGCATGTGGGAGGATCGAAGAGAGCAACAACAAGGGGTTCCCCTTGGCAGTCTCCAGCGTGGCCGGGGCTGGAAGGACCCAACGGCAGACTTGCCTCCCAACTATGCAGTCAACTCATAGCCCAGGTCTCTTCATGTCCTATGCAGCCAGCTACGAACATGGCTTTTTTGGGGCAAACTTGTTCCATGTTCTCCAGATCAACGTGTTCTGTTTACCTTTCTGACTTGCTTGTTTTCTTGGTTTTATTTTATTTGCTGCTTTTGATTTCTACCTCTCAGTTTTGTACAGTTTGAGTTGAGATGGACCCTTATTACCTAAACCACAAGCTAATAAATGGCCAAACTATAAATTACTGAAGTAAGCAAACAAAAGCTGAGCTTATTTAGTGGGTAACTAAGACCTGCTGATAGTTTTATTTAAATATGGTGTAGTTAGATAGGCAGGTGGGAGAACTTCTGGCTTCTGGTGAACATCCCTTTCCAGAAATGGGCCATTTGAAACTGAAACTTGAGCTACGTCAACCCATGTGAGCAGGAAAGCTGCACACAGCTGCACGAGCCCCTGCCAAAGGAAAGAATTACATGTCATGGAGCTAGGCCCTTTGGGATGTTTTCGTTTCTTTTTAATATCACTGCTGTGAGTCTCATGCCCTTTCTCTGCTAAATGACCAGGGATCCAGTTTCAAAGCTGGCTTTGTGAATGTGTCTGTGGCTAATGAGGATAACCTGAGATGTGACATTGGCCATGCCAAGCTGTGCCTTACTGGAGATGCTCCTGCATCCTTATCTTCTATTTGTAAGAACTCTGTTTCATCGAAGACTATTTAGGGACTGAAAACTGTATGCAAGGCTCTAGCAGCTGGATCAGCTCTCTGCAAAGTGCTTATCATGGATCTGTAGGCTTAGCTTTTTGGGTATCTTTTTTCCTAACTCACCAATGCCAACTGTGAAGAAAAAACAAAATTATCTTGTGCATAACTCACAAAGACAGAACCCCAACAACGCCCCAACAAGCCTCGGCATTGGGCTGTCCTGATGAAAAGGGGGTAAGAGAGATGGGGCTTGGGTTTGGAAATGTGCTGGTGGATACACAAAAGGTGTGTCCTGAAAGCCCTAGGAAAAAACAACTCAAGTTCATATTCACAGAAAGTCTTACAAGACCCTGCACATGCACTGTGCGATAACAGGAACGGCTCAGCGGCGCCGGTCCTTCTCCCAGAAATGGCAGATGCTTTTTTGGGTTACAGACCATCCACCTCCGGGTTCGAGGGAGTATTCAATCAGAAACGAGCTGTTCTCGCCTCTGAAAACTAGCCTTGGTACAGACGTCGGGGAAATAAAGACCCTTCAAAGGCCAATGTTTCAAAAAGAATGTAAGGAAAACTGGCTTGTTAGTCAGGATGGTCTCTCCTCAAAAGTCACAATACCTGTCTAAGGACAACAAGATGAGGCAGTGAATAAACTATCGTTTTCTAGACCAGACAGCTCTGTGCCAGGTGAAATATTTCAACCTCTTCCTGACACAAAATGTCACAACCGATGTAAGTTTAAGTGGCCTCGGCTGTGGTCATGTTGTATACTCAGGTTTTGCCAAAACATACTGCGGTCCTTATAGACGGGGAGTAAAAAAGAAACAAAATTCTGTGGACGTAGAAGTACCCAAGAGCAGGAAACGCATTTCCCACCTGCACAGACAGAGGCTGAAATACTTGTGGAAGGTGTCACAAGGACTCTCATTTTCACACCCACTTCTCTGCCAATGTATTTCCCGGGGGGGAGGCATGCGAATCGGGGTCTGGAACCGTGGATTTAATCCCCAGGCTGCCTGGGTGGGACAAAACTCAGCAAGTGACACCCTCCTGGTTGCAGCATGGACTAAATCCGATCTTCAACTGCTTAGGCCAAACATCTGACTTTTAGAAGGCTAAAATTTTGCCAGCTGAATCCCATTCATAGGGAAAG